CCCCAAAACCCCAAAACCCCAAAACCCCAAAGTGCTATATTTATTCAATGATAGAGACAGGAAAATTGTAAATATAGTCTTGACATAAAGTTGAACTAAATCAGATTAATAATACTGACAAGAATTATAAAACTGAGTGAAATTTATTAAATATGTGCTGGATTACCTTAAAAAAGAGATAGATATTCAAAATGAATTTTTTCCTCATTCCAAAATTTCGATACTTGTTCCAGTGAAACACTTCATCAAAATTGGAATACCTTGCAAAACAAACTCCCAATAGGCACCTCTGCATATCCAAGCAACCAGAGTTTGATCATGGATTGGTAGCTTGCACCATGAAATATCCTGATGGTCTTGGCTTGGCTTTACATAGCAGTTTTGATGGGAGTTGAATCCCCAATCCTTGATTTGATCACAAGTTGGGTAAGTCTCAGCAGTCATAGCCTTGTCTTAAAGACTCTACTGAAGGCATGTTCTGGCGTCGTCAACCCATTCCTTAACTTAAAACTCATCTCTGTGGATTCTAAACTCCTCGCAGTAATGATGTCCAAAAGCCAAGATATAGTCTTAGTCGCTACAGTAATTGAAGATATTCTAGAATTGGAGATAATAGTCACATTTCTAAGGTGAGATGTACTTCTTCATGGCCCAGATTCTCTATTTGTCATCACCAGAAATGCTTTGGCCGATTTTGTTTGAGTCTTGCAAGAAAGCTTTCTGTGCGAAGGTAAGGGCACACAAAGTGGAGGCTAAGAGGAATTTTAACATAATAATTATTATTAATTTCAATAATTTGATAGAGGAATATTGCTAATTAATTTAGAATTGTATATTAATATTCACGTGCAATTAATTGATTAAGTAATAAATTTTTATGTCCTAATAATCTCTAGATTCGTAGAAACACTTCCAAGTGCAGGGCGAGATAAGAATTGAAGAAATGAGAAAAGGAAAGGGTAATGGTAAGTTCAAAATTATAATGAGAATATTTGTAGACTCAATTGATGTAAGCTAAAACGAACTTGGAATAGATAGAACGAATATACTCAGTAATGATCATCTTAATGTCTAGTAAAATGGATCAATTAACAAGATGATATCTTAATCATCATTTAGTAATTCAGAAAGCCCACTAACCTTTAACTAAATAGATCCTTCTAAATCAGAGGTATACTAAAGTCCAAGTTTGAAGAATAATTCTTCATAATTGACTGTGGAGGAGGAACTTTTATCTTAAAGACTAAATCGATAGAATCCCAGTATGTATCAAAATATAGTGTTACTTATCAAATAGTTAATAGTGAATCAAAGGGTGAATAAATTTAGAATAGAATAATAAGCTCGACTCCTTAGCAAAAGAATAGATCTTAAATGACTGGTGTAATGTAAAGGCTAGTAGAAGATGAGAAGAAGAGAAAAGAGAAAATGAATTCAATTTTGGAAATGAGTCTGAGGGAGTAGTCTGAGGTTTTCCATGAGAAGATAAAGGCGCAAGGATCTTTTGATCATTTTCTTAAATAATAGCAAGAATGGGAGTATAAGAAGAATCTTAAGATATCGAGTGTATGATTAGTAAGAAATTAATTACCATTTAGATGATTCAGGAGAACTTGAAAAATAGCTATTTGGGCAGCGGAATAACTCCTAAAATGTCTGTTAATAAAGCTTCAGGCTAACAGTAGTAAAGAGCCACACAACCTGTCTTTGAAAGATTATTCTCAGCCTAAAAGTCATACATAGAATAAAAATAAAATTAAATGAATAAAGTTGATAATTCTGCACTGTCAACTAGAAAAGTAAATAACTAAGAACTGGTAGAAAGACTTTATTATAGCAGTAGAAATGAAAAGTAGGAAAGAGATGCTGAGAGGAAGAAAAACTAGTCAAATGCTAGTGGAAGAGCTAGCAGTATCAATAGTAGCGTTAGTTATACGCTACCTAAATCATAAAAACTATTGCAAAATGGTATAGAAAATGAATTCACTTTGTTTTTGAAGCAGTAAAATCATACAGAAAATGGAAATATGTATCTAGTTGAGCTGCCAGGAATGCTTAAAAATATTGGATTCCTGCTACAACCTTTAGTTGAATAGGACAGATAATTGGCTAAAAATTATGTTAAATTACTCTAGAAATATGCAGATGAAGAGTCAGTAAGTGTAAGTCTTGTTAAACAATCAGTATGGGCTATTTTGAGTTTTAATTTGGACTAAATCGAAGGACCTAAGCTAAGTAAAAAAGATGAGCAATAATTAAGAAAAGACTTTAAGAGATTTAGTTAGACTAGGGCTGAATTCATCAGACTCAAAAAGAAGGCAACTTTAAGTAAATATAGTGTAATATTAACGATTTAGAACAATAAAATATGAGCGTAAATGAGGAAGGAACACCTTAAATTTCCAAGAAAAGCAAGCAGATCGCCAATAAAAAACTAGATGATGTTCTCAAAGTAATTTAATTATAAATAATGCCTTTAAGAACTTCAAAGGAAGTCATACAAAATATTTGATGAGTTTTGGGGTGGAGTACAATAAGAAAAAGCAGGAATTGTAGTAAAAAAAAGAAGAAGATGAACTTTAAGGTGTAACATTTAAGCCGGAGATTATAAAATCATATCGACCAAAAGGAAATCTTACTGATGCATGTCGAAGCCCCACATCAAATCTTAGTTCATCTAGATTTGATTCACTTTATCAGAAAGCTTTAGAAAAGCCAGAGAAAAGAGATAGGAATATTGATGAAATAAAGTTTGAGTAGGAGAAAGATCATTTTACATTCAAACCTTAAAGGGAAAAGCCTGCTCTCTTTGTTTCGCAAAGAAATCCTGACTAAAGAGAACCTCTCTATAATATGAAGCAGGCACTTTCTCCAGCCAAAAGCATTTTGAGTCATATTTAGCCTAAACCGAAGACAGTAAGATAGAAGAATGCTGCATCTAGGCCTAATACCGCTAAGAAAATTTATGTTCAGAGTAAATAGATCAGCACAAAGATTGATCCTGAATCAGATTCTCGTAAACATTATATGTATTCATATTAATACTTTAGCTCAAGAAGATGATGAAGGAAACTCATTATTCTATATTGATGTGAATGTGAATAGCTCGAAAAAGAGAATAGTTTTTAGAGAGAATGATGTTCCTGAAAGTGTGGCTTCAATTTTCTGCAACAAATATGGTAAGATTGAAAATCAAATAAATTCAATATGTTTTATCAGATATGAGTATGGAATAGCAGCAAATTTTAATTAAGAAATTGAAGCAATAGCTTTAATCTACTTATCATCACTGAAACGGCAAGTATTTATTTAGACAAGTCAAACTTTAATTTTATTCATTCACTTTAATTCTCATTAATTAAATTTACTTAAAATGATATTGTACATATCTTATTGGGGTTTTGGGGTTTTGGGGTTTTGGGG